TCTAGACGAGATATAAGATACATTCTGGACGGGATATCAGATATATTCTGGACGGGATATCTGATACATTCTGGATGGGATATCTGATACATTCTGGATGGGATATCAGATATATTCTGGAAGGGATATCTGATACATTCTGGATGGGATATCAGATACATTCTGGATATGATATCAGATACATTCTGGATGGGATATCTGATACATTCTGGATGGGATATCAGATATATTCTGGACGGGATATCTGATACATTCTGGATGGGATATCTGACATATTCTGGATGGGATACCTGATACATTCTGGATGGGATATCTGATACATTCTGGATGGGAAATGCTTTGAAGTCCAGCCTGACGCAGCAATGTTTTGTTTATTGAGATCTTCACTTTTCTGTCGAACCCTCACTGTTGCCCTGAAAAGGGGAATCCCCAAGTTCCGTGCAGCACTGTCAGCTTCCCCATATCACAGGGTCTTTCACCAAACCAGCTTTCCCACAATATGGATATAATCTATTTCTCATGTCTGCAAGCTCTGTGATGCTTCTGTTACTCATCCTGTCTCCCGCCAGTATCATTTATTTAAAATCATTCACACAGCGCAATATTTACACATTTCCATGTTAATATGAAGCTTCGGTTCTTGCCCTTAGATTTGAAATGCCTCCCGGTGCCTGGGGTGAGCACCATCTGAGCTGGAGTGCTACTTCAGTATCGCAGCGGGGGTGCAGCCTACGAACGGCGTGATCGGCGTGGCCTGCGATTTGCTCACTCAGGCAGACATAAATGGACAATTAACTCACTGATGGATTTTGTGACTTTTACCTCAGTTTACACCTTGCTTTTATTAAAGCCTTTATAATTCCTATAATGCTAGCATGCCCAGGGGGGTTGGTCGGGCAGTCAGCCATGGACCGTCAACCATGGGCTTTTTTGGTTCCTCTGTCTTTCTTTCTCTCTCGTAATAATGGATTGCCACACACCCTTGTGAACCACTTGAATTTGAGTATTGCATTGTATTTTGTTTGCATTTCCTTGCTTTTTCAGCACTACTGTTTCTCCCGTCCACCAATGTCCACCAATGTCCACCAAAGTCCACCAATGTCTACCGAAGTCCACCAAAGTCCACCCATGCGCCTGTCCCCTTCTCTGCAAGCAGAACACAAGAACTTCACTGTACTCCTCAGAATACATGACAATAAACCTTGAAACTTGTACTTGGAATGCAGTGTTTATTTTGCTTATTATGGTCCCCCCATAAAAGAGGAAACGGCAAATTCAGAGCTTTGCCAACTTCCCCATATCACAGGGTTCTATCTATAACCACCTAGTCCGTGCGTGAGCATGGCGCTGTAGCGTTAATATCACAGGGTTCTCTCTGTAACCACCACATCC